GCCTTTTAATATTTAACTATTAATATAATATTATTAAAGGTTTTAATAGGAATTAATATAAGAAACCCTTTATTATTACCTTTATTAAATATTATTAAAAAGATAGCACTTAAAAAGCTAGCTTAATAGTTAGTATAATAAACCTATAAAGTATAAAAGGTAGCTTATAAAGCAGTAAAAGCTATATAAAAAAGATAAAAAGTATAAATGAATAGAAAGTAATGCTTAATGAACTTTTATATAAAAGATAAAGTCTTTTTAAAAAAGAAGGGCTTTACAATTAATAGCCCAATTACCCAATTAAACTCCTAATAGGTTAAACCCTTTAAAATATTTAAAGAAAAAGGATATAACTATATATTAAACCTTTTAAAGTTAATAAAGATAATTAACCTCTTTTATATAAATTAACTATATAAAGTAAACTAAAACCTATTACTTTAATAAACCTAATTATTATTAAAGCTAAAAAATATTAAAGGAAGATTAGAATGGAAAGTTAAATAGCTATTTAAGTTATAAATAATAGGGTATAATAAGACGTTATAATATTAAGTTGCTTAAAAAGGTTATAACCTTAATAATACTTAATACTTAATAAAGAATTTTAAAAATTTATTAATTAAAATATAAAAGTTTTATAAAAGATAGCTTAATATATTAAAACTGCTTAAATAGTTAAATAAATAAATAAAAGCTATAATAATTAATAAATTTATTACTAACTACCTTAATAATAATATTACTGTATAAAATAGTATTATAATTAAAATTAAATGCTATAAGTAATTCTTTAACCTATTTTATACCTATGTTTTAATTTTAATAAGGGGAAATATAATAAATATATTAAATATATACTATATTGGAATATTATATACATTATAAAAGGATATTATAAAGATATATAAAACCTATATTAATAAGGTTATATAACCTATAATAGCTATTAGCTTATATATATTTCTATATATATATATATATATATATATATATATATATATATATATATTAGTTTTATCTTTCCTTTCTTTCTTCTTTAACTTAAAATCTTTATTTATAATATTAATATAGCTATACCTTAAAACCCTAATCGTGATATTATTATTTTAAATAGGAATTTAAAATTCCTTTTAAGTTTTTAAAAGGTAATTTAAATATACCTTATAATTAAATTACTTTATATTATAGCTTATTACTTATAGGTTAATAATTAATTAAAGATTATAGTATAAATTATTTAATCCTATTTATAATATTATATATATACTTTAAATAACTTAATATAATAACTTATAATAATACCACGCTTATAATTTAAATATAATAATATATATAACTTAACTATAGGTAAAACCTTTAATAAATTAACCTTAGGATTCTTCTTAATTAAAATTATAAATATTTTAATATAAAGAAAACCTTTAATTAAAGAAAAAAGATTAACGCTCCTTTTTATAACGCATCTCCCACTTGACCTGGCCACCCAATTGACCTGGCCACCCCACCAGCCCATACAAAAAACGTCGGTGTACTAATCACGTGATAATTGAATAACTTTACGAATATTGGTCGTATAAAATAATGAAATATACCATTAGATTCGTAATAAGAAGGGCAATCCAACGGTACTCTCCATTGATTTATACGACTTATATCCGTGGAGTTATTAAGCAATACACTAAAGTAAGCGCTAAAATAATCCTTGCCTAGCGGCCTTTTAGCGTATTGCTTAATATTTCGCCCAATAAATTTTATAAAAAATAGTAAAAAATACCGCTAGATTCCTTATTAAATAACGGATCTAATGGTACTAATTATTAAATTGTAGGACTAATATTGGTTAAGTTATTCCAAATTGAAACATTGGACTTTTATATAGGTTAAGGGGGTGGCCAGCTCAATTGGGTGGCCAGGTCAAGTGGGAGATGCGTTAGCTTATATTAAGGTAATAAATACTATTACTCTTGCTTTAATTATTATAAAAAAGTATTATAATTAATATTATTATTTTAAATTCTTTAATGTTAATAATTAAGTATTATTATAACTATATAAGGGCTATAATATTAACTCCCTTATAATTCTTAAAATAGTTTAATAATATATAAAACCATTTTATATATTTAAATAAATTAGTACCCTTATTTATAAACTCGATATAAAGGACTATAATGTATAAATCTATAATATTATTTCTATTAACCACCTTAAGCCTACGCCTTTAAACGTTTATAGAAGATCGTTCCCATTAATTAATTCTATATATATAATAGATTATACATATAAAAAGATCCTTAAGGCTAAAATAATTAAGGGAAAACTATAATATTTAATTAAATATAAAGAATTAAGTTATAAATTTAATAAATAGCTTAATTAAAATAAGGTAAAGTTAAACTTAATTAATAAATTTATATATAAATCCTTAAGAAAATAAAAAATTCCTGCTTTATATAAAGAATTAGGATTATATAGCTTAAGTTAAAGATTATAAAGAATTATATAGTTAAATTAAAGATTTTAAATAAGGGTTAAAAGAAAATAAGGTTATTTAAAATAATTAACCTATATATATATATATATAATAAAGCTATAAGAATATAGTATTTTCTTTTCTTTTAAAAGTAAATTATAAGGCTTAAGGTAGGGGTAACCTATTATATATAGCTATAAGTATATAGTTTTCTATAATGGTCCTTAATAAACCTAAAGACTTTACTTTTATAACTTCATTTATATAATATAAACTGATTAATTATACCATTATATACCTACTTTATTATATTAGATTAAGTATATTTAATTAAGTATTTTTTATATATTAACATTTATAGATTCTATAAAGAAGTATCTTTTAAGAATTTACTTTAAAGTACTTTTATTTAATTTTAATTTTATATAACTATAATAAATTACCCTTTACTTTATTAAAGCTTATAAATATAAAATTAAATATATTTATTATTTTTATATATAAGTAAGTAAAGGTTTAAACTATATATAAAGAATAAGTTAATTATATAAATATTTAATAATTTATTATATTAAGGTTAAAGAAGTAAGGAATAAAATTATAATTAATATTTTTTTAATTAAAAATAATATTTATAAAAAAGATATATAATTTTCATTTAAATTTTAAGCTTATTAATTAAAAAATAATTTTTTAATTTAAAAATAATCTTTTATTAAAAATAGTTTTTACTTTAAAAATGATTTATATTTAAAAATAATTTAAAAATAATTTAAAAATAACTTTTATTTAAAAATAACTTTCATTTAAAAATGGTATATAAATAAGCTATATAAAATTAAAGCTATAGGAATAATAATAGCGTTATAAGAGCTATAGGTCTTTAAGGGGGCTACCTATAACCCTTATAGCCCCTATAACCCCTATAGCCCCTATAGTTATTATAGCCCTTTATAATATAAACCTATTTATATATAAGGATAATAAGTATACTTAATCTTATATTTATAAGCCTTAATGGGGTAAAGGGTAATTTATTATAATTATATAAGATTAAGATTAAGTGGAAGTACTTTAAAGCAAATTCTTAAAAGATACTTCTTTATAGGATTTATAAACGTTAGCATATAAAAAATACCTAACTAGGTACACTTAATCCAACATGGCAGAGTACAACAATTAACAGGAGCGGTTTTGATAGGTTCTGGTGTACAGTGCCATTACAGGATACGTACAGTAAATACTATACTGCAAAACTGTTGGTCCGAGCTTCCATCTACCCGGTACAAAGTACATGGTGTGCATACTCAAATTGCTGCGTTTGTTGCGTCTGTCCCAGAAACTATAAGTACCTCTACCCCGAGTGGCAAGCTTGGATCACTGCGGGGTCGCATCTTCATACCACTTAGATCTTATCCAATTAAAGCGTACATCTGCTAGATACCTAGTCTGACCTAGGTAGTGTTTAAGCGGCAATCTAATTGTTACGCCACAAGCAACTACACAGCTAATTTTGCGTGAGCGATGTAGCCCCCCGAATCGGAAAAGCTTCCTCAGGCAGCTGCATACCTAGGTCATTTGTACGGCGTCTAAACCTATCTGGGCTCGCTCTCCCTGCTAGCGTAGGGGCTTGGCGGTGCCTCCCCCAACCAAAACCTGGCCTGTCCACCAGCCCATCTCCTTCTCCAGCCCATCTCTCACGCCCTTTTCCCTTTTCTGAACCGCACTGGCCAAACTCGACACAAACACGCCAGCCAGACCATTCTGCCTACCTAGGTAGGTACTTACTAGGTAGTACTTCGTAGTACTAAGCACAGCAAGGTATCCTAGCCCGTAGCAAGCTTAGCAGGTCCAGACAAGGTCCTACAGCAGTCCTCTAGCTGTTAGGTGTAAGTACCTACTGGTCAGATACCGGTGTATTGGTGTACCTATTGGCATGCTGGTGTACAGAGTAGGTACCTACTGGCAGAAAAAACTCCCATCAGTTTGCGCCGGCTATCACACACTACCTACCTCAAGATCCCGTCCCGTCTCTCTTCCTTTCTCACCTCAACCAAACCTCGAGCCTCAAGTCAGCACCACTTGAGTCTGTCGCTGCCATTGCACATTGCACCAGTTCAACCCCCCTCCTATATCATTCCACTTTATCACTTTTGCCTCCTGCTTGACAAGGCCTTGTTGTCAGCGCGGGCTTCTTATAATTCCTTGCTCATCTTTCCAACTTAGACCCACCGTCCCGAACGTGAGTGACATCCATCATCCCAGGTGGCCCGCGCAATTCGAGCTCCTCGTCGCGCCTCATGGATGGCGACCCTCGAATCCGCGACCCGCGCGACTCGACCATCGTCATCATCAGCTAACCCGCGCCGTTACCACCAGGTCGTTTCTATTTAGATCCCTTTCTTCTTTTCAACCAGCTTTCCTCTTTTATCATAATTCTAGACCATCGCGCACGCCGTGTTGGTTGCACCTCTAATCTAGCCGTGTCGAGAAAGAAAGAAAAAGAGTCGACATATCTGTCAAGATGGTAGCCTCGCGACATCTCCCCAGCAAGGCCAATCCCCTCATGACCGAAGACCTCCCAGTCTGTGAGTAACAACGTCAAGCTGCATGTCCGCCGTTGGATCCGAGCTAATCACATCATGTAGATGCTGAACTCGTGTCGCGTCGTCGCCTGGGCCAGACTCAGCTCACTCCCAAGATGGTAGCAGCCAGCGCTGCTGGAGAGGTTGATGCCTCAGCTCTGGGCGTATTCGACTACGCACATCTTCGGGCCCCCTTACCGAAGGGGATCACATCGGGCATCTTCAAGTCTTCCCCAAGCTCCTACTTCCTAATGCGCCGAAGCCAGGACGGCTATGTTTCCGCGACTGGCATGTTCAAGGCAACCTTCCCATATGCTGAAGCTTCAGAGGAGGAAGCTGAACGCAAGTATATCAAATCACTACCTACCACGAGCCATGAAGAAACAGCCGGCAATGTATGGATCCCTCCCGAGCAAGCGATGGCGCTAGCAGAGGAGTATGGTGTTACCCTTTGGATTTCTGCTCTGTTGGATCCAACCGAGATTGCCATCACAAATGCCCCAGATAGCCCTCCGAAGAAGATCGCGGCGCCTCCTAAATTCGAATTCACGGGCTTGGTACAGCCTTTGCTAGCACCGCCCACCCCTTCCTCATTACCTCGCAGTACTCGTAGTCGCCGTTCCGCCAGTCCTTCCAAGAAGAGAGCCATTGCATCTCCACGCAAGCGGTCGACCAAAGTACCTCCTGCGCAGATTGTTCCTAGCGAGCCTCTACCTGTTCAAGAAGAAACGCCTCTACCTGTTCAAGAAGAAACAGAGCCTGAGACGAATGGTGTGCAGACAGAAGATACTACTTCTACAGCTCCCACCGAAGACATTACAATGAAGACTATTGAGAAAGAACCCGAGCTTGTGTTCGCACTCGTCGAGGAGGAACCCAAGATACACATCAAATTCGGCCAAGAAGTTCAATTCAACGCTGGTGTTGAGACAACGCAGACAGCTGTAGAGGTCGAGCTTCCTATTGCAAACGGCCCCCCTAGCGTAGAAGAGGCTGCAGAGATGATTGCAAAAGCAAAGGAGATGGTTGCGGCGGCAGCAGCTGAATCTATGGGAAACGCCAAGACTGATAGCTTATCCAGTGAGAACAGCAAAGGGAAGCGCAAGGTTGCTGAGATTGCTGACGATGATGAAGAGGAGCAACCTAGCGAACCGTCCGATGAGCGTAGTTCTAAGAAAGCGAAAACGGAGAAGACGGAAGTACAGTTGCGGAAAGAGCGCGTCAGAAACCGAGCTTTGGTCGGTCTGAGTGCAACTCTCGCTATTGGGTAAGTGTCTTTTCTGTTGCAACGAGACAGTCCCTGGTTGCTAACTGTGCGTAGTGCTCTGATTCCTTACGTTATGGGCGTATTTTAAACCCCCTTGCGCATCTTTATATAATTCCTGAAGCTTGATTCGGTGTCGTCTGCTATAGATCTTCATATCGGAGGCATACGATATTAGCAGCTCCTGGATCAGATGGAAATTCCAACTTGTCATTTTCTCGTTACCCATACACATACATACCCCTGTTAGCTGTGGTCCAGCTACTCGTTTTCCAGCTGAATTTCCCTCGTTTCGAGGAGACGGCACTTGTATACACCCCTTCACGTTATGGCGCCTCGCTTGGGTGAGTTAGATAGCTGTCCTCAATAAACATAATGATCATTCGTTCAAATCTCGCAACCTCCAACCCAGTGAGTGACAAGAGCGAAACATGACATATATGATGAACTTCAACCTCGTCCACGATCTCCTTGGCTTTCCTGCATGCTGAGCTCTACGTGTGACGAGATAAGAATGTATGTCGGTATTCGATCAATATTGGTCATGAATAGTCTTGCTCCCACTTTGACAAAGCGGCTTACTAAAATCCATTGCCATTCGGTAACCCATCCATTCCAAGGTGATGATACCACCGCTTCCTTCTCCGCTTTGTCCACTATTTGAATTCAGATGGCTTTCTTTGTGGTGCAAGGCTGGAAGTGCCGCATTTATTCCGTCTCATATGAACGCCCGGGTCACCGAGAAAGAGAAAAAAGAAAATTGTATGTGGTGAACTTGATAGTAGGTAGTTGACGCTGGGAGCAAAACCTCAGGTTTCCAAGATATGATCTATTAGGTATCAGGTAGGGATTCGTAAATATGCTATGGTTATTTATAGCTAAGTGTGAGACACCTTTAAGCTCCTGATTCCACCATACGCCATGCTTCTCTTGATATTGCAAGAGATTACCTAGCTACGCAGTAGGTGATCCTAAACTGGGCCATTTGATGCCCGAGATGTCCAATTCTACTTATCGGGGGAGGAGGGAATATGCCAAGTACGAGAAGATGTAATGGACTATTCTTAATCTTGCGGTTTATCACCGTTTTCCTGTCTCTGTATACATGCGCAAAGGATACCTACCTCTCAACTTTGAAGATTCTGTTCGTTTATTTGCATTACTTAAATGATCCGTACTGTGTATATGGTTATGGCTACATGGCAACGGCCCCTACTGTCTACATTTACCATTTACTTAAGTTGCGCTTTTTAAGCGCGCGCTAGGTGGTCCGAGCTTGCCAGGCCCATGAAAATTTAGCGTCAAGGCAATAAAATCCCAATTCCCCAGCAACTTTTCCTCCTCTGCTCGTTCCATCAGTTCACATCACAAACAAGCCTTTTCTTCATACTCCCGTGAAGGGAGGCAGAAGAATCCATAGTCACCATGCTATCTCCTCCCCCCAGTGGGTGAGGATACGTAAGGCTGGAATATGCCTCGGGTTCCGTCCCCTACTTGGTTCTGCTGGGCTTGCCAAACCTACGCGTGACCGCTGAATTTGGCCTCCGGCAAATCACGGTAGGTGGCTCCTGGGTGCTTAGAGTCGGCAATGGTCGGTAACAGGAGGTAGGTAAGTACTTACCCCGCGAGCCCGCAACCCAGCAGCAACCTGGGGAAAGCTGGGGATCTGCATTCTTTCGGCTCCCTCGTCTTTGCTAGCTTGCCCCCATCAATGCTTTACTGGCGCCGTGAGTCCTTGACTTCGAAGTAAGATTCGTTGCGTTGACACCGTTCTGGGGATGCGTCCAAGCATATGAATACACATTTGGGTTGGGTATCAGAGCAACGTGCATCCTTGTCGTGTCCAGAATGAGGACACGTCGTTTGCTCGTGAGTACTTTCCGTACTCAGCAGCGAGCCTTCTCGGCGTCTTCGACGAGACTGCACAGCTATGGCTTCATAGGCCTTGGCCAAATGGTATGTTCTTGCAATACCTCACCCGACATCTTATCTTCCGCTGACCATCGTTGATACGCAGGGCTACCAGATGGCCAAGAATCTACAATCCAAGCTGTCGCCTTCCGACTCTGTAAGACTGTTCGATATCAACAAGGACGCGATGCACCGGCTGGCTGAGGACATGCGGACTTCGCAGTCGGGCGGCGCTGTTGTAGAGCTGGCGGACAATGTGGCGGACGCTGCCAAAGACGCTGTAAGTGGTCTTATTTGCTACTGCTGTAACCTTGGGTGTTTCCCTTTATTTCCATGATGAACATGTTCTATCTATGATCTAAGTTGGGGCCGGCTTGCCGGCCTTATTGTGATTATTTATATACATAAAGCCAATCCTCTGAAGGAAAAGAAGCATACTGATTCTTATTTTACAACATGATCGGAACCTCTAAGCTAACTCTGCTATTAAAGGATACTCTAATAACGGTGCTACCTGAACCGTCACATGTAAAGGACGTTTACTCGGCGATATTAAGAGCCAGCATCCCACAAAAGCGCAGAATCTTCATTGACTCGTCGACCATAGACCCGTCGTCATCACGCGAAGTTGCTAAATGGGTTACAGACGCGCACCAGGGCGAATTCGCCGATGCCCCAATGTCGGGGGGAGTCGTGGGTGCCGCAGCCGGTACGCTGACCTTCATGCTAGGCTCTACAGAAGAGCTACTACCTAGGATAGAGCCAACTCTACTGCGGATGGGCAAGCGGGTTCTGCACTGCGGTCCACAGGGGACAGGTCTCAGCGCCAAGCTTGCGAACAATTACCTTCTCGCCATCAACAACATCGCAACAGCCGAAGCCATGAACCTCGGCATCCGGTGGGGTCTTGAGCCGAAGACTCTTGCGAACATCATAAACGTCAGCACGGGTCGTTGCTGGCCTTCAGAGGTGAACAACCCCGTCAAGGGTGTAGTGGAGACGGCGCCTGCCGGTCGTGATTACGCCGGTGGGTTCGGCATCAGCCTCATGAAGAAGGACCTCAAGCTCGCTATTGTGGCTGCCCAAGAGGCGGACGCAAAGCTTGAATTAGGCGCTCGTGCACGTGAAGTCTACGAAGAGGCTGAGAAAGCCGAGGGCTGCAAGGGCAGGGATTTCTCCGTCATCTATCGGTTCATTGGCGGCAAGGAATAAACCTGTACTTATTGTATGCTGGAAAATAAAATACCATATTACTACCCCTTGCTGCTTATGGCATTATTCCATTAGTGTAGCCCGTTGCGTGATTACTTTCGTGATACTCTACACGGATATTGGTAATTGTAATAGAAGAGCTAATGTCCGTATCACTCGCTGGCCGTTTACGAGATGGTGTTTGTTTCCTTGTTATTTATTCTCGATGAGAACATGTATCAAGTTTGATATACGAGCCACCGAAGCTCATCTATACGCCCACTTTGCAATTTTGCACCAAGGTACCCGCTGCCCTTATGTATATCTATGTTCGAAGTAGGTGGACGCTTGAGGTACACTGGAGGGTAGGTATTATACGCCTGGGTATTCAAGAACCGAGAAACCCTTCGAGTTCCGCTTTCTCGTCGTCTTCTTCATGCTCGGTATCTTCGTCTTCGTCCTCGTCTTCATCTTCGCTTGCATAGTCATCTCCGTCATCCTCTGCTTCTTCCTCTCCGTCTTCTTCGTCTTCATCTTCTGTCTCCTCTTCCTCTTCCTCTGCCTCTTCATCTTCATCTTCAGCGAGGAACTCATCCAACGTCATAGACCCAAGCCCGACACCAGCGCCCGCGCCCGCTCCAAAGAGCCCATTACTCTTACCTCTTCCAGCATCACCGAGCGTCTCGATTGCGGGAACTGCTCTGCGGCCTTCGGGAGTATATTCTGCCCCAATGTTGTCTTGCACCCGTAGCCTCGGGTCCGGCTCATGGCCCTCCTGTACCCAGTCTGGGAGGGCTACGTAGCCTCGTAGACCGTGAATGGCACCACCGCCGGCGAGGACAAGCGCAGACGAGCCTAACAGTAATCCTTTACGTGTCTCGGAGGGACTTGGCGCTTGAGGAGCGGGTTTCGGGGCTAGTAGCATAAGACTGGCAAGCTGAGGAACCGCGAGAAGTGCCTTATAAAGTCGAGCACGATCGCGTAAGTCGTATGAGGTATCGTAGCGAACTAACAACAATACGTAGTCCCACAGCTTTGATATGGGGTGGTCTGTAGCAGGGGCGAAGCCAGGGGAAACAGGTTCCTCGTTGTTTTCTTTCTGTGGTGTGAGTTCTGCCTGTGTCTGCTTTTCTGCCTCTCGATTGATATGATGAAGATATACCTTCGCAGCAAGCAGGACGATCTGTCGCTTAGCGACTTCCGACTCGTTGACGAAATCCTTGAGCAATATTCGCAGGACGTCTGCTGCGATATTGTCCTCGCCATTCAGCCCAGAGAATTCACCCACAAGCCAGATGATTGTCGCGCGGGCTTGTGGATCTGTGGCGGAGTCCAAGTTCTTTGCTAACCTTACAACCGTTCCCATGTGCGCCTCGGGGTCTAGCTGTATAAGGTGGCGGATAACGGTCAGCGACTCTGCGGCGAGGGTGCCGTCGAGACTTGTTATCTGTCCCAAAAGCAACCGCATGCAACGGGGTGCTGTAGCTGGATCTCCCTGAGCGCAACGGCCAATAGCACGAACAGCTTCACGGACTAGTGCCTTATTGGTCCCCCGAGAGAAGTGCTCTAGCTCGTTGAGAATCAGGCTTTTTGTTTGCGGTGGGCTATGAGGAAATATCAAGGTAAGAACCTCGAGTTTGAGCTCCCATACTGGGGCTGTGTCAGTAGCACGAACGAGAAAATGAGACGCATACTTGACGAATGGAGCCGGGTGCGCCAGACACACAGACACAATATTGTAAAGTGCAATTTGTTCGATATCCTGAGCCCCTCGCAATAAAGCGACCAAGGGACCGATGGCTGTCTTTATATATTCGGATGTACCAATTTCCGCATAGCATCGTGCTACAGCTATGACAACCCCGGAGTTTCGACTTTGTAGTAATGGTTTGATTCCGTTTAGGAGGAGGGCTAAATCGGGATCAAGAACTACAAACTGTTCGCCCTCTGCTTCCGTCTCGTCTCGCGATCCATCCTCGCCGTAGAAATCCTGGAGATCAACCGCAACGTCCTTGGATTTAGCGTTTCTTGTCCGCCGTGGGAAGCACTTGCGTGCGTATAATGTCATCATTCTCAGTATTGCGAACTGGCTCCATTCGTCCATGTCAACAATCTTCTTGACAAGGCTCCTATAATGCGGGTGGATCAAATCTATCCGCTCGGGACATATTTCCATAAAGGAAGTGACAGCTGCGCCAGCGACGAAGTACTGCTTGTCGCCAAGAAGCGCTGCCAGGTAATCCAGTAATTGTGGGAGGGTATTGGGTTCGAGGCGATAGCATTTAGGGATGGCGAGGGCAGCGGCCTTGCGTACATGTGGCGACATATCTCCGGCCCCTTTCTTGATCGCTAAGGATACGATCTGACTTATGACAGGAACCCGTATGCCAGACATGGTGCGCAGAGCTAGAGCACGCACTTGAGGGTTCGTATCCGACAAGGATTTCTGTATGGTATTGATGGATAGCAGAGCCAGATCGGGCTCTTGTTCGGCATGATGAATTAGGTATATATAAACTAGTTTTTTTATTTCTATATTCGGCGAGGCGACATTCTTGACGACTGAAGAAAAGAATGGAAGAGTTCGCTGCTGGCGGTACATCATCTAGCGCAGGGTTATGTTAGTAATGTCGATACGAGGTAGATATGCTGGAGGAGATAGGGTCGATGTCGGCAGATAGGCATACCGCGATGACACGCCGTAGTCCCTCCAAGATCTCCCGATCATTTCGACTATCGAGGAGCTTCTTAAGTTGGGCGGTAGGCAGCGACCTTGTTGTGACACGGGTGCTCCGAGCAGCCTGGGCGGCATCGAGAGTGAGCTCCCGAGCTAGGAGCAGCAGGTCAGCGGATGAAATCTGGTGTGCCGTCGATATTTCTGCTCTTACCGCTCTCGAGCAGGTCGGAGATTCTAGATATTGATTCCATGGTCTCCAAACATGCGTGACCGCAGCCAGCGTGCAGAGCTGCTGTCCAACTCGCGTTGATGTCCTGTCCGTCAGTCGGGTGCAGTGGGAAGAATGAGAGTGACGTCGCTGAGGCGCCTGTCTTTGGTACTACGGTAGGTTAGGGTAGTTGTGCCTATCTAAGTAGGTGCAGCCCGGTCTAGGACTATTTGGCGGGGCATGTTTTGGTAACATTTGCGCACCGGGTCACGGTACCGGCAGAGCACCGGCGCATTGGCCGGTCACTTCTTTGAGCGAGCTCACGGCTGGCCCAGTCCCAATGCATCTTCAAAATGGACTGGAATTGACACATAACCGAAATATGAGAACCTACTGACATTTTCTATCGTCGTGCCTACCCGCCAGGGTGAAACTAAGCACTGAAATCCTGAACTAAAGCCGTTCCGGCAATGACAACCCCAGTGTTCTTATCCCCTGCCTTACCATCCGACTTACTCTTATACGTGTTGAGACGCCATGTGTATCCCACGACGCTCGTTATATGTTCTTCACAAGCCGATTTTCTGACAGCGGCCTCTGAGGACATATCGAGAAAATGGCACAGGAGTACACCAACCGACCGGGACCACCAAGAACTTGGTGAAGGAGAATCCAGCCAGCACCAAGACTCGATAGAAGAGGAAGCAGAAGGGAAACATGCGCTCCTGTCTTCGCCTCTCTACCAGATCGCAGCATCTCGTCATATCCACGTAGTCTACGTGCCAACCGTCACTCACTTACGCGCCTATCTCTCCGCCTTCTCACCAGATGAATCTAGAGTGCCAGCCCCGCCGTTCACTTCGGAAGGAGATGGCGAACCACATATCATTTTGTATGGCTTACTCAATCTGCATCGTGACACGAGTGAATGGAGCGCACAAGGTCTCATTAATACGACCTCGGCTCTGGTGGGGTTGGCCCATCGTCTATCTTGGAGAGCCTTTGTCATCGAGCCACTGAGCGATCTAGAAGATATAGCCCTGGAAGAAATGTTACAGGAGACATTGCCTATACTAAAAGGGGGGGCACGAAGACTAGGGCCGAAGTTCGAAGAGGGTGCTTGGTCTGGTCGGACGGTTGAGATTGGTAGAGCCTTAGGTCGGTGGTTCCGCTTCCAAAGAGCACAGTGGAGCAACATTGGCTGTAATGATCAAGTATTTATAAAACAGAGTGACCAACTCGAATCACATATTTCTATCTCCCAGGCCGGGGAATAGCTATTTGAAATCAGAGGCCGCCAGTACAACATGCCTATCAAGCATGTTCAACGCATGCTCAAAATCCCCGTGAACGCCAGCAATGGTATCAATAGCCTTCTTCATAATCTCATAACACGTGTCTCATAGCGCAAGGTAAGCCGTACCTGAAGTGCTTGTTTGAAGAGTTTCAGATAGCTTGTTCCATCTCGGTAATGTAAAGCTTGATGTGCGATTCCATTTTGAGATATTCATCATATGCGCTATGCACTTCGTCGTCAATAGTTTCTTTTAGGTCGAGCATCTGCATCACCGTTAGTCCCTTTCTTGTCATGTTTTTCTTCTTCTTTTCTTTTCAGATGTAGGAGGGGGGGGGGGGGGGGGGGAAAAAAAAAATGAATAGAAAATACCTGGTTATCAGGATGCGAAATACGAAAAAGCCGTCGTTCGAAAAAATTTCCTTTGGCTGCCCCAGATTAGGTTGGCTTGT